CCCCCTTTCCTCCCTCTCATCCAGCCTTTTCTTTGTAGCAGCGCTGAGCCTGCACTCCTGCTGAAGATCCCGCTGAAGCCCGGCTGCTCTTTAAGGCCGTCGCTTTCTCGTTTGGTCTTTTCATTTCTCTTTTTTTTCCGCTGATGTCAACAGAGTGGCTTCACAGAGCGCCGCCTCCCTCACGCACACACCTCATTTACAAAACCACAAAAAAGGAACAGAAGAAGAAGAGAAAGAAGTGCCAAACAAGATGGGGACAGCTGCAGCGATGCTCCTCTTCCTCCCTTGGTGTCAGGAAAAACACATTTTCAAAGTTTCCCCCAGTTCTCCCAACGACGCCAAGATTCACGCTTGTAGTGGAGATGGATTTGAGCTTTAAAGTACACCAATTAAATGTGGTTATAGATTTGCATTCAAGGCCTACGAGAGATAAAGTCACCAATAACGAGAGAGGTACGCGGGAGACGAGCACTTAGAAGTGTCTTTATATCTCAAGTTTACGCTGAGTGACTGAGAAGGCTCTGTTTATCAACTTAAAGGCACAAAAAGGGCTTAACTTTATGTGTTTATGTTAGTGGTTCAGCTGCGTATTCGTCTGTGAGTTTATACGGGAGATATATAAAAGTGTTTGTGTGCGTGCTGCTGTTTACCGACGTGGGAATGTTGGAGCAGAGTAGTCTATATTCAAATGCATGTGTTTTAATATGTGAGTAAATGTCGCCATGAAGTTTCTTTCCTAACTCTGTTGAACATCCACCTCCAAGTGTGTATACTACTGTTAGGTCGCGTCAACCGAATATTTTCCGTCTGTGACCGATTCTTTTTAACAATGACGGAAAAATCTGAAATCAGTCCGTCATTTTGACAGATTAGAACAAACTCAGAACAGCGCCAAAGCGTCCCCGCAGCGAGGCTCCGGTGTTATGCACGCCCGCCAAAGAGGAGATGATAACGTTTCCAAACCTAACTTTGTCGAACAAATCATTGAAACGTTTTTACTAGAGATGCCCCGATCCGATCACGTGATCGGGGATCGGAGCCGATCACGTGATTTTCAAAAGATCGGAATCGGGACAAAAAAATCGGGGATCGGATTTTTTAATTATTATTTAATGTTACAAAACAAAAATGACCATGTTCAAGTCTTAAAGTCATCCTGAGGCCTTAGTTTTGGTTTCAAATTACACAACATCATGTATGTGTTGCTTCTTTGGGGCTTGTTTTCATAGACCTGGTTGCTTATTTCTCTCAAATCTGGCAACAGAGTGGGTGCAGTGTCTAATTGTAGCAGTAAGCTAACGAGTACTGAAAGCTTTATTTTGTTTTGATCCAATGCTGCACAACTGAACTGATCCAATGCTGCTGTGAAAGAAAGAAGCTATATCCATGTTGAATAGAATATCCAATTTAAATAAAAAAATAAACTTAAGGGACAACTTGAATGCTTTTTTTTCTCTTAATGCATTGCATAAATATCGGATCGGGAAAAATCGGTATCAGCAAATCTGGGGGCAAAAAAAGGTGATCGGGACATCACTAGTTTTTACGCTGTGGCGCGCTCCCGCGAGGTGCAGAGGGCATGCATAACACCGGCGCTAACAGTTCAGGAGCCACACCCCCCCCCCCGTCAGAGTTGTGTACAGACCGACGGGTAATAATGGGTTGTGATGGACATTTTACGATCCTGCCCATCAAAATGACGGGCAGCAAAAAACTCAAGCGCAACCTCTGCTACTGTATGTTTAAAATCATAATGGTCTTCCCGTTTATGTAAACTGCTGCTTTGGAATAAAGCCCATACTTTCCCTTTTACCATATTGGAGGTTCATAAGTAAAGTTTGTTCTGTCCAACAGTTCAGTTCACATGTTCAGAGTTATTGTTCTCTCTCTTAAAGAAGAAATTGGGGGATTCAGTGTCGGGACAATGTTCAATTAACGAGGAATGCACCGGCAAAAATGCTGCTCCAAAAACAAAACTAATGAAAACAACGTGTTTTCACTTGAAATAGGACAAGTGAAAATTAGCTTGGTAAGATTTCTTAAAATTAGAAGGGATATTTAGATAAATCAGATCTTGTAATTAGCTGGGAGAACTACTTTTGAACTATATTTGAACAGAATCAGGAGATGTTGTGTTACAATATAAGCCGCAAATGCTCCAAAGTTTTATGTTTGCTGATGTTAGTGCTGATGTTAGTTGGTGATTTTCCAATAAATATGTGAGAGAAAATAAAGTTTCATCTGAGATACAACTCAAAGGAGGATCTTTTCACTTAACAAGATGATGCATTGTTTAAAAACAAGAGCCAATATCTCACTGCATTGTTACTTCTGAAGTTATTATGTCTTAAATAAACTTTGGTAGTGTGATGACCGCTTAACAATACTAATATTTATAATTACTCTTAAAGATTTTTGTTTAAATCAATGTCTGTCTATCGCCAAATTGGGTGACAGATAAGTGGTTGACCCTATGGCTTAAGGATGACATTTATTAGCATTTGCAGTTTAACAAACTTGGTGTCTGTGGAGACACTACTGCAACAAATCCCCAACAGTTAGGGACCATTATTTTCAACAACCTAGCGATGGTTTGTTTGAAGGCTGAGCTAACGCAAGAGTTTTTTGTATCACTTGTGTGAAATGCCATTGCTGCTTTTTTCTCACTAAAGCAAGCGCTTCAACTAAGTCATGTTTCTAGTTCTATAGATGAACAAACAGTAGAAGGGCCGTGACTACAGACTGCAACTTAGTAAAACAATTAAAGTGAGATCAAAAGCAAGAGTAGCTTTAAATCATGAAGCATTGGAGTGTGTGTGTGTGTGTGTGTGTGTGTGTGTGTGTGTGTGTGTGTGTGTGTGTGTGTGTGTGTGTGTGTGTGTGTGTTCTTCCTACCTTACAGGAGTCCAGTCGCTGCTGAGCGATGCTGGAAACCTTCTCTACGACAGTTCGAAGTCGTGATTGTGCGGCGTGTGAGATGAACGTGACCGCCTCCATCGGGACCTCTGTGACCCCAAACTTCTTAGCTGTGAAGGACACACACACACACACACACACACACACACACACACACACACACACACACACACACACACACACACACAGTTTTATTAGAACGAATCATTTCTCGAACTAAAATCACTGTTGGTTCTTTTACTCATTATAACTAAAACCACATTGTGTAAACACTTCACTAGTTTTGTTGCGACAAACAGTTGGATTTCACCTTCTATGAAGCCCGTGTCTATAACGCATTATATACATACATTTATTGGGTTATTATCTACTTATAGCACATAACAATTATAAGCATGCATATCTATTCATAATGCGCCAATAATCATTAGATATTATGAAGAAGCATTTTATAATGACTTGTGACTTCATATTTACTATTTCCCATAGTTGTTATACATTATTAATGTCATGTCACGTTTTTAGTTTAGTCCGTCTTGTTTCGGGTGTTATTTTGCTGTTCTGCTCCCACCTGTGTCTTGTTATCCTGTCGTTAGTGTCCCTGGTGTGTCTAGTTGTCTGATTGTGTTCACCTGTTGCCCTTGTGTTTCTCCTGCCCTGCCCGGCTGTTTCTCGTCTCTTGATTACCCCTCCCTGTATTTAGTCTTGTCTCTTCCTGTGTTCCCCTGTCGGTTCATTGTTTGTTTGTCCTCCCTTCACGTCACGCTTCTAGTTAGTCTCTCCTGCCTTGTTGGTCACGGTCAGTCTGTGTTTTTCATGCCATGTTTTTGTGTTTTTTCAGCTTTTAAATAAAGCTTGCTTTGGTTTATAACCTTTACCTTTTTGTAGTCTGCATTTGGGTCCTACTCTTTTCCACGATTCCTAACAGTTGTGTTACCATATAATGCCGTCATTCCCAGATGTTTATCTTCCATTTAACTACCGGGGTGTTTAATAAGTTTGCATTTAATTTACTGAAAGGGAAAACAGGGTGAAAGCGATTGGTCTATCAACACTTCACTTTTTCAATCTCGAGAAAAAGACAATCTAAGCAGGTAGAAGGTAATTGTCTCACTACCAACACACACTAAACTCGTAAGAAAAGGAGGAACACAACTCTAATTGTTTCTACTTATACACGCCTACTGTACTCACACACACATTCACACAGAACTGTCTGCATTAGTGCGTGCAATTCACTCCCAGACAGACATCGGAGCCATACCACTGGATGGTTCATTTGTTTCACTGTCTTGGCTTCACTAGCTGAGCGTCTTCGAGTGTGTAAACGACATTGACCATCTCGCATCGTAGGAGGAAGATAATTGAGTTTCCTCGGAGCTAAGAACCATCTGAAGTCATAACAAAAGAGAAGAGGACTTTGGTGGGTTACTTTCCGATTCCAACTTCCTTTTAAATTATTCCATTACCATCGTTTTTCTCTCTGGCGCCCTTTTAAGTAAACCACACCAATTATGTAAATCAGCTGCACAATACATATAGTGCAGATCCGCTAAAGCTTTGAAATGGATGGAGGGAGGCCTGTTAGCCTTGTGATTACAGAGGCAACACATGTGGCAATGTCACAAGGTCAGAAGACGAACACTAATAGGCTCCGCTTCCTTAAAAAACAAGATCTTTCAGGGACATTAATATTTCAGAGAAAGTTTAAGAGACTTTTCTGTGAGCGAAAACACGAAGGAATTGGACCGAGAAAAAAAAGCTCTGGACCCAGAAACACTAATGAACTGAACAGCTTTGATATTTAGTTTCATTGGTACAAAACAGAACAGATAACAGGGATAACCTGCTATACATATTCTAACATCTCCAGTTGGGTGAAATGTTTTGCATTTTTGACATGTGGCTGTAGGGAAGGCAACGTCTACCACTTTGGTCGAATCTAAATATCTCCGTAAGTGTTTGATAGAAGATGATGACATTTGGCACAGATATTAATGTTTCCCAGACAATACATTCTAATTAATTTGGTAATCCTATGACGTTTCTAACAGGACCAGCATGAGGTTCACATTTAGAGTTCTGAGTGAGATGTCTTGAGAAATATTGGATTAAATGCCATAAAATGTAGTACAGACGTCCGCTTGAGAAACACATTCCTTAACCAGTTTGGTGCCCGCTGACATTTAATCAGGTCAAATACCTGCACGTTACATCCATGAGGCGTAACTGGGCTTTGTTAAAGGTCACCTATTATGCAAAATCCACATGTTCATGTCTCTTCTACATCAACATGTGTCCCCTCTTCTTCATGTCTCTTCTACATCAACATGTGTCCCCTCTTCTTCATGTCTCTTCTACATCAACATGTGTCCCCTCTTCTTCATGTCTCTTCTACATCAACATGTGTCCCCTCTTCTTCATGTCTCTTCTACATCAACATGTGTCCCCTCTTCTTCATGTCTCTTCTACATCAACATGTGTCCCCTCTTCTTCATGTCTCTTCTACATCAACATGTGTCCCCTCTTCTTCATGTCTCTTCTACATCAACATGTGTCCCCTCTTCTTCATGTCTCTTCTACATCAACATGTGTCCCCTCTGTGGAAAGAGACTCTGAAAGTTTCAGGAACAAAGATTCTCTCTCTTTTTGTCCTGATCCATTTCTATAAAAACCTGTCTGAAAATGAGCTGATCAGATTTTGGCCACTT